GTCCGGGTTGTCTTGCGCGGAAATCCACCGGAATGCCCCAATTAGCCTCTGTTTACACCTGTTCTTGAAATGCGTGCCAAGCCCCAAAAAGTTGCTGATTCTTCGTTTTGCTGCAACAGAGAGCAGGAAAGGGGCATACCAATGTATTTGCACAGATATATGCATGTCTCGATCCTCGTGCCACCAATCACGCATACCGAGGCATGATGGCCGAGGAGTCGAAATGCACAACTCAATATAAAATGAATGCACATGAAACTACAGCTAAAACCTAACTCCATCATGCATAATCCGGAGTGTCGGTGACTGGGGAATTGAGACGCATTCCGTCACTCGGAGTACGAAATGTACCTCGTTTCCCGTGCCCGGGCTAACTCCTATTCCGGACACGATGCAATATGCATGACATGCATGAAATGTGACTAAGATACAATCCTAACATGCACAATGCTATGAAAATGAGACGCCTCGAAATGCGTGCACACGGGCACGTAAACCGAGAAAATAACAGAATGCGATCTAAGATACAACCTAGTATGCACTATGCTGTAAAAATGAGATGCCTCGAAACGCGTGCATACGGGCACGCAAACCGAGGCAATGACAGAATGCAATGCAAGTGACTAAAATGGCATGGAAAATGTAACATGGACTTATACTAACATGAGAGAGCCTCAGCCGCACTCACATAAGAGGCCGATGAATGAAAATGAAGTGCCTCGAAATGCGTGCACACGGACACGCAAACCGAGGCAATGCCATACGCAATGCGATGAAATGGCATGGAAACATGATATGGGCTTATACCAACATGAGTGAGCCTCAGCCACACTCACATAGGATGCCGGTGGATGAAAATGAAGTGCCTCGAAATGCGTGCACACGGGCACGAGAACCGAGGCAATACAAAAATGCGATGTAATGACATGAAAACATGATATGGGCTTATACCAACATGAGTGAGTCTCAGCCACACTCATATAGGAGGCCGGTGGATGAAAATGAAGTGCCTCGAAATGCGTGCACACGGGCACGCAAACCGAGGCGGTGGCAGAATGTGATACAAATTACATGAAATGGATAGCAATCATTCTAATAGAATTTCAGCACTAAAATATGGGGGAAAACAGTCCCGAAATGAGGCGAAATGACATGAAATGCATGGAATTGTCCCGAAATGCGAATTTAGGCGCCCGAAATGGCCTATAGCTATGCCAAACATGCACAACATGGACATGCAATGCAAAAACAGAAGCTAGACAGTCCCAAGAAAGGCACTTTCTCAGTTATAAACATGGCCAAACAGCAAGTATAGGTATGGCAAAAATGGCATGCAAGAATAGGGGCCAAGAGATGGATAATGAAGCAAGTAATATAAGCAAAATCCAAACTGAAAAATTTCCTTCTACAACATTGAAGAGGGACCAAAAATATGAATATTTTCAGAACTGTAAAATGGCCAAAACAATATACAAATATGATAGAAATGTGATGCAAAATAAGGCTCAAAAGTGGCTATAACATGAGGTATGCGAAATATTCACCAAAAAGCCAAGGACCCTTAATAAAACATGAAGTATAGGTCAAAATAAGACTATCTCTAGGCCTGTAAAATGGCCAAAAACAAAAGCATGGTAGGCTAACTAAACATGCAAAGAAACGGACCGAAAGTGAGATATAACATGAAGTGGCTTATGGAGGTCCCAAACCATGAAAGACCCCAAACAAAACATGAAGAATGGACCAAAATAAGAACTTTTTCAGAACTGTAAAATGGCCAAAAACAAAAGCATGGTAGGCTGCCATTGCATGCAAGAATGGGGAAGAAAAGAGGAGTATAAAGGTAGGTACAACATGGAAACCCCAAATGGTGTTGAGGAAGCCGAAGTCCCGACGGAGCTATTTCGCGACCGGAAGTGTACTTTTCTTGAACTTTTTCAGGTCCCGGGAACTCCGATCTTCCTCATAAGCCTAATATCAGTTTACAACATGCTCAAAAACAGATTACTCATGGGCCAAAAATAGCATGCAAGAAAACGGTATTTACGAGGGGTATTGAAGCAAGTGGCATATGGAGGGCTCAAACAGGGTTGAGCCCTTAATGAAAAGTGAAGATGAGCTCAAAAGAGGGCCCTTTTCAGTTAGGGCCGGAGCTTGAAACAAAAAGCAAGTGGGGCTTACAAATAGATCAAGAAAAAGGGTCAAAGTGAAGAAAAATTACTCACCCTTGAAGACCAAGACTTTTGTTGCCTCTTGGACCAATTTGCAGCTCCTTTTGCCTTTGAGAAGCCTTCCTTGTTGCTGGAAAAGAGGTGGTGGTGGTAGAGCTTGGTGGTGTAGAAGAAATGGTGCTTAGGGACTTAGAGATTTTTAAGGAAATGAGAGGTATGGAGATGGAGTTGTGTATGGAGGATTGAAGGTGAAGTTTTCTAACCCCAACAAATGAAGCCACCAGCTGGTTATAAGGGCCAAAGAGGGGTTGTAAAGGTGGGGGAAAAGGATACAAACTTTCCCCCACAAAATATCCCCCGGATAAAGATCTTTTCTGGGGGATAAAGCTTCACAGCTGTAAAGTGCACAGTGCAAAGAGCACGGCCGGCCAGTTACTTTTGCTCCAGGTGGCCGGCCGGCCACACCCCCTAGCCGGCCGGCAAGGGGTCAAAAAGGTCAATCAGATTTTCTGGCCGGCCACCAACTGGGGGTGTCCTCCTATGTGTGTACAACACAATCCTGTGGTTAAAAGTCCAAGAAAGTGAGTCCAAGGGGTTCAACATTAGCTTGGAAAGAGGGGGTCAAAAGGGTCAGGTGGAATTACTGGCCGGCCACCACTTTTTAGGGTCCTCCCATGTGTGTACATCACAAATATGTGGTTCAAAGCAGGTGGCCGGCCGGCCACACCCCCTAGCCGGCCGGCTAGGGGTCAAAAAGGTCAATCAGATTTTCTGGCCGGCCACCAACTGGGGGTGTCCTCCTATGTGTGTACAACACAACCCTGTGGTTAAAAGTCCAAGAAAGTGAGTCCAAGGGGTTCAACATTAGCTTGGAAAGAGGGGGTCAAAAGGTTCAGGTGGAATTACTGGCCGGCCACCAACTTTTAGGGTCCTCTCATGTGTGTACATCACAAATATGTGGTTGAAACTTCAAGAAAAAGGGTCCAAGGGGTTCAACATTAGCCCGGAAGGAGGGGGTCAAAAGGGGCAAGTTGAATTACTGGCCGGCCATGAACTTTTAGGATCCTCCCAAATGTGTACATCACAAATATATGGTTCAAAGTTCAAGAAAAAGGGTCTAAGGTGTTCAACATTAGCCCGAAAGTGTGAAAAACGGGCGCCGGAGGGCGTCGGAGGATGTAAAACTGGTTGCTGCAACAATTACTGGCCTCCCACCCTTCAGTGACCTCCCTGGTGATAAAACAGAGGTACCTGCCAAAAATGAACGAAAATCGTTGCAAAACGAATGCTCGGGGACCAAAACGCGCAGTTCGAGGTCCCGAAAATGGGCTGTTAAGCACCGAAAGTGGCGTTCGGCCACGAAGTGGGTTTCTCAGACCCCAGTGTCCCTCAAAAGGGAGAAAATAAGATGTATGCCGAAAACCGGAGCAATAGGAGATGGTTAAGCGGTCCCGAACTGAGGCACACGACCTGACGGCTCTGAAAATCGGAAACCGGACTCCGAAATGGGAAAAATGGCCTATGGCCACCAAATGTAGCCTACGGACAGTGAGAGATGGTCTACAGGACCTCTCCCTTCCCTCAGGAAAAGAAACAGAGAAAACCGAGCCTGGTTCGCAAACCGAGGTAAGGCACAGAAGAGGGTTCGGAAATCCGGAGGCAGGGCTCATGGCCGCGACTCGGAGACTTCTGAACGAGCGCGATATGCAACATCACCAAGCGCTCAACTAGTGACGTCTAAGTCTTAAGGTCGGTCAAAAATGGGGTGTCTACAATAACGAACACGTGGCCTTTGGCACGAGTCCGGGTTTCCTAAATTTTTCAAAATAAAATATTTAGGTGGCGACTCTATAATCTGGCAAAGCAGTCCATGTTTGGCGCTTTTTGATTAAAATCGATTTTCCAAAACGATTTTCCTGATTTGGACTCTTTGGTGATTTATCAATCTTACATTGCACTTTGTGAGCTTAGATTCAGAACCGTGACAGGAGTCCGAACTGTAGTAGCACGGACCCAATTCGCGCCCTTGCGCGGAGAGAGTTCGGGGCAGTCTACAGGAAGGTAAGCGCAAGAAACCATATAAATCTAAGTCTTTAGTGTGTGATCATTTTACAAAGATTAAACAAACTAATTAGAGTAAAGCAGAACGAGCAAATTGCAACTATTGTGGACGTGAATTTTCTTGTCCAAGTGTTTTAGGTACTAGCACACTTTGGAGACACCTTAAGCAATGCTCTTATTAAGACGGTAATAAAGACCCAAGCCAACAATATTTGTCTTTCTCCTCAACAGTTGATAGTCAATCTCAAATTGTGAATTGGAAATTTGATCAAGAACATTGTCGTAGGGAACTTGCTTGTATGATTATCATTGATGAACAACCTTTTAGTTTTGTGGAGAAAGAGGGTTTTAAAAGGTTTGTGAATGCCTTGCAACCAAAATTTCACATTGTCTCAAGAACCACAATCACCAAAGATTGCATTGAAATTTATAATTTTGAAAGGCAACTTTTGAAAGCAATCTTTCAGAGTTCAGCTTCACGAGTTTGTCTCACCACAGATTTGTGGACTTCCATTCAAAACCTTGGGTACATGTGTCTCACAGCACATTACGTTGATATTGATTGGAAGTTACAAAAAAAAATTATCAATTTTCGTGTTCTTCCAAGTCCACATCATGGTGAGGTAATTGCGTAAGCTATGGAAACATGCTTACTAGAGTGGCAATTGGAAAAATTAGGCACACTTACGGTAGATAACGCAAGCTCCAACGATGTAGCAGCTTTAAGTTTAAAAAGAAAGCTTGTTAAGAGGGATGGATTGTTATTAAATGGTGATTTTTTTTCATGTGAGGTGTTTTGCTCATATCCTAAATCTGATTGTGAGGGATAGAATTGAGAAGGCTAAGAGTTCAATATTGGCTCTTAGAGATTATGTGAAATATGTGATTAGTTCCCCATCTCGATTGCAAATGTTCAAAAAATGTGCCGAGGAGGAAAGAGTTTTGGGTAAGAGGGCTTTGTGTTTAGATGTACAAACACGATGGAATTCAACTTATATCATGTTAAACAATGCAATTGAATATCAATTAGTATTTGAGAGATTGGAGGAGAAGGATGTGTGTTTCAAAATTGAGGTTAAGAATGTTATGACGGAGGAGGATTGGATGACAGTTAAAAGTCTTCACAAGTTCCTTGAGAACTTTTATGTGATAACAAAGCGTGTCTCCGATTCCAAGTATGTGACTTCTAATTATTTCTTTCTTGAGACCAATAGGATTCAAGCTCTTCTCTTGAGTTGGGAAAATCATGAGAACGAGTTCTTTTCTAGCATGGCCATGAAAATGAAATTGAAGTTTGAGAAGTATTGTAACATCGAGAAGATTAATCCTTTGTTGATTGTTGCTGTGGTTTTAGATCCACATTACAAGTTGATGTATGTTAAGTTTTCTTTCACAAGATATTATTCCATTAGCGATGTTGATGCTATGATTGAAAAAGTGAAGCTTATCATGAAGCAACTTTATGAGCATTACTCCACCTCTGTGTTAGAATCTATGGAAAATGTGGGTCTCTCCAAAGGAGGAAATGATGTTAGAATGGATGATCTTGGGATTTCAAGTCTTAGGGTTGATATGCATAAACAAGATTGGCATCAATTCTTGAAATCTGAAGCAACTGTGGTCATTAAATCCGAGTTTGATCGTTATTTGGAAGATGGGGTTGAAGAGGAGTTCGAACACTTTGACATTTTAGCTTGGTGGAAAATGAAAGCTTCTACATATCGTGTGGTTTCTCTTATAGCCCGTGATATTTATCCATTCCTATATCAACTGTTGCTTCAGAATCGGCATTTAGCACCGAGGGTCGAGTACTTGATCAATTTCACAGTTCTTTAACTCCAAAAATTGTGAAGGCTTTGATTTGTGGACAAGATTGGTTAAGGAGTTCATCAAGTCCAATTGATGTTGAAGAAAAATTAGAGGATCTTGAAAAACTAGAGTCAAGTAAGTTAGTCTTTACACTTGTGCTTTGTTTTTAATTTACAAATCTTATTATATTATCTCAAGTATTTTAATTTTCGCAACCATAACGGATGAAATTGGTATTCTTTCTATATCAAGTTCAAGTAATGTTTGAAAGAAATTTTACCACGAGGTAAGAATAATTTAATATTTCATTTGACTTGTATTATTTTATTTGAGTTATTTGTAATTATATTCTTTTTTTTTAGGACATGGTTGCATTGAGATGAAGATGTGAAGATCAAAATATGAAATCTCTGTTGGATTGAAGTTTCTGCTGGACTGCTACTTGGATCACTTTTTTTTATTTTGTTGTTTTCAGTTTATGTATGAAATAATGAAGCACTATTTGATGTATGGAACAATGAACCACTGTTGTTTTCAGTTTATGTTTGGCATCTGAGATGATGTTGAAGTTTGTATTAAAGTTTGATGATGTTGAAGTTTGTTGTATGGAAGTTTTATATGTACTAGTGTTTGTGGTTGTTGTTTGATTTATGCACCAGATTTGAAATTTATTGAGAAAAGTGGGACTCATTATGTTTAAATTTTGAAATCTAGTGTTTGTGGTTGTTTAGTTTATGACAGAGTTCAATCAAGGGTTTAATAGCATAGCAGTCTGTTTTATGTTTAAAGTTTGGATTAAAGTCATGTTATATAATTTATGGTATTTCAATGTTATTTTATTTTATTTTTAAACTTAAACTGTTTATTGTAAAAGAAAAGTTATTGTTGATAGTATAGCTATTAGCTAAACAGTGCTCAAGTTATTTTAGATTGCTGGACTTGTGAATTTCAGACAATTCGGGCAATTCGGGCTAACCCGAGTTCAAAATATAAAGCTTGGTCCACGCTTGGGCAGCAATGCTCGGGTTGATGGTCGGGCTTGGGCACTGCTAAATACAATTCTGGCTGGGCTTGGGCAAACCCCTAACCCGACCGAACTAGCCCGAGTTGCACCCCTAGTCCCGAGGTTGGATGTGTGGTAGGCGCCCCAGATGGGCGTTGCATTCCAGCATTGGTCTCATCCTGCTGTAGACGTCCCCGAACGCCCGGGGAGGAACGAGCTCCCGTTCCGTTCATTTTGGGGTCACTACAGCTCAGGACTCTCAAATGTCACGGTTCTAAGTCTGAACCAAAGAGTCCAAATCCGGCAAATCGTTTTGAGAAAAACAGATTTTTGAAAGAAGTGCCAAACATGGACTGCTTTGCCAAATACAGAGTCGCCACCTAAATATTTTATTTTGGGAAATTTAGGAAACCCTGACTCGGTGCCAAAAGGCCACGTGTCCGTCATCACCAAAGTTGCCTCGGCTCGGGAACTTGGGTACGATTGGGGAAGGTCACTTCGTGAGCACCCCCGCTCGCCCAGTCATAGACCGGCCTCTACTAACCATGATATCAATTTTTGAAAACATTGCGAGTTCTTATTCCGGTTTATTAGCCTAGGTTACTATGTGATGCGCACAGCATACAAATATAGACCGAGTCGCCTGAATTGGAACGAAACATTTCATGTTTGTTTTTGAAAATGGTTTGCTACCCGCAGGTAGGCTTAAAATACAGATTTGCCACCCTCGGGTGGGCTTAAGAAAAGATGGCTTTTGCCATATCTAGTGGACTTAAAACTCACAGTCAATATTTGTTCCATCCAAATAACCCAACACTTCACCGCCACAGGCATTCAGGCAGTTTATATATCATGTAGACATAAGCCCATGGTAAGCATGCTATTCATGGCAGTCACTCACACGCATGCAAGGATGCCTAAAGCATAAAACTCACCGAGTACTCCAAGCTAAAACAAAAATATATTAGAAATCCATTGCATGATCTTAATTTTACAGAAATGACCTAATGCAAACACATGCAAAAATGCAACTATAGCAGGCTCGGCTATTCTAAAACATGGCATTATGGAGTGCTACAGCTAACACGTATTTACTTTGGAAATTGAAAGACAATGCAGTTAGTTTATGATGTGCCGAGCCCGGTGCATGCAATACAGAATGAATGAATGACAAAACATGCTATTCTACTGTATGCCTAATTGAAATATGCCCTAATCTAACCATCATAAGCATAGGTAAAATAAAAGGGAAGAAAGACGTTTGAGGTTGGGAAGACATACATCACACTCACCACACTTATTACAATTATGCCCTCGCACAGAGGGTCGAATAAATAATACAGTCCCAAATGAAAGAATAATACAAGTCCAAATATTACAGTCCGAAAACGTACCAAATCGTATTAATTTAAACAAATTAACTAGAAAGCTGTAAAATCTGGCGTGGCAAGCCGGGGACTGCCTTGCTTCTGATGAATGATGCATGTCTGGCTGCCTTGCGCGGAGAAATCCACTGGGATGCCCAATTAGCCTCTTTTCACCTTTTCTTGAAATGCGCCCGCCAAACTACCAAAAAAAGTTGCTGATTCTTCATTTTGCTGCAACAGAGAGCAGGAAAGGGGCATAGCAATGTATTTTCACAAAGATGTATTGCATTGCTCGATCCTCGTGCCAACAATTCACGTTATCTCTATGCAGTGATGCAGAGCGGGGTACGAAATGTGCACAACTCAATATAGAATGATAATGCACGTATAAACACAACAAGAACCTAACTCCATCATGGATGATCCGGAGTGTTCGTTGACTAGGGAATTGAGACACGGTTCGTCACTCGGAGTACGAAAACGCACTCTTTCCGTGCCGGGCTAACTCCTATCCCGACACAATGCAATATACATTGATATTGCATGAATCCAACTGAAGATCAACCTGGCATGCACTATGCTCTATGAAATGAGATTGGTTTCAAAATGGTGCACACGAGCACGCAAACCGAGAAAATGGACAGAATGCGATCTAGATACACTAAACTAGTATGCACAATGTAAAAATGAGATGTCCTCGAAATGCGCAGTGCACACGGGCACGCAAATCGAGAAAATGACCATACGCAATGCAAATGACATAGAAATGTGATATGGGCTTACACTAACACGAGGAAGAGCCTCAACCCACACTCACATAAGAGGCCTGATGGATGAAAATTGAAGTGCCTCGAAATGCGTGCACACGGAACGCAAACCGAGGCAATGGGCATACGCAATGTAATATGGGCTAAAATGGCAGTATAGAATGCAACATGGATTACACTATACATGAGAGAGCCTCAGCCACACTCACATAAGAGGCCGTATGAATGAAAATGAAGTGCCTCGAAATGCTGTGCACACGGGCACGCAAACCGAGGCAATGCATACCGCAATGCAAATGACTGGAATGTGATTATGGGAAGCAACATGGACTTATACTAACATGAGAGAGGCCTCAGCCACACTCACATAAGAGGCGATGAAATGAAAATGAAGTTGCTCGAAATGTCGTGCACACGAGCACGCAAACCGAAGGCAATTGGCATACGCAATGCAAATGACATGGGAATTGTGATATGGAAGCAACATGGACTTATTACTAACATGAGAGGAGCCCAGCCACACTCACATAGAGAGCCGATGAAATGAAAAATGAAGTGGCCTCGAAATGCGTGCACACGGGCACGCACAACCGAGGCAATGCAAAAAAATGCAACTATGTGCATGGGAAATGATATGCCAAATTGGTAATGGGGATTTCAGCACTGAAAGTGCGGGGAAAGCAGCCCCGGAAATGAGGCGAAAACACACCCGATGCATGGAATTGGTCCCGAACATGAATTTTGGCGGACCGAAAATGGCCTATAGCTATACCAAACATGCCACAATATGGATATGCATGAATAGACAGGAAGCAAGGCAGCCAAAAATTAGCATTTTACCAGTATAAATCATGGCCAAACAGCAAGCAAAGATAGGGCAACAATGGCATGCAAAAATGGCCCTAAACATGGGATTATGAAGCAAGTGGTATATGTAAAACCCAAACTGAAAATTTTCCTTCTAAAACATTGAAGAGGGACCAAAAATAAGCATATTTACAGAACTGTAAAAACCCCAAAAACAAACATAGACATGGATAAGCTCTTGTGCAAGAAAATGAGCCAAAAGGTTGCCAAAGAGGCAAGTGGTATATGCAAAGCCCAAACTGAAAAATTTCCTTCTACAACATTGAAGAGGGACCAAAAATAAGCATATTTACAGAACTATAAAAATCCCAAAACAGTATACAAACATGCTAGAAATGCAATGCAAAATGTGGCTCAAAAGAGGCTATAACATGAGGTATGCAAAATATTCACCAAACAGCCAAAGACCCTTGATGAAACATGTTAAGAAGGTCAAAATAAGGCCATTTCTCGGCCTGTAAAAAGACCAAAAACAGAAGCATGATAGGCTGCCAAAGAATGCAAAAATGGGGACCAAAAGAGAGATATAACATGAAGTGTATAAAATATACCTCAAATCATGAAAGGCCCTTGATGAAACATGAATAATGGGCCAAAATAAGACTATTTCTAGTACTGTAAAAAGGCTAAAAACTGAAGCATAATAGGCTGCCAAAGCATGCAAAAATGGGGACCAAAAGAGAATATAAAGGAAAGTATAGCATCGATGTCCCAAACAGTGTTGAGCCCTTCTTCAATATTGAATAGGGGCTCAAAATAAGCCTACTTACAGTTTATGTCATGCTCCAAAACAGATCACACAGAAGCTAAAAATATCATGCAAGAAAACGGTATCTAAGAAGGATATTGAAGCAAGTGCAAGATGGGAGGCTCAAACAGGGTTGAGTCCTTAATCAAAAGTGAAAAAGAGCTCAAAATAAGGCCACTTTCAGTTAGGGCCGGAGCTCAAAACAAAAAGCATATATGGCTTATAAATGGTGCAAGAAATGGACCAAAAAAAGGGAAAATGCAACTCACCCTTGA